CTATGACATTATTTTATTGTTCAGGTCAATTTTTTCTTAAAACTCTGTTGATCAATTTGAATTAGGAGAGACATTGCTCAATAGTCACTAATAAACATGTTATTTTGTAAACTTAATATGCATTATCAGAAAGCATCTAGGTAAAGGATGAAAATTCATCTTTATTTATTTAACGATTTTAAATGAAGCATGTGTGATAACCTGAACTTAGGACCAAATGGAGAGAGAAAATTAATTAAAAGCAAGGAATATTTTATTTTAAGTAGAATTATATGTTAGTTGACACTAAAGTTTTTGCTATATCTCACAGATAGTTTTCTCAAAATGTACGGAAGCATTGGAACAAAACGTTCTTTTTTCTTCAATATTTCCCCCTCATATAATTCAATTTTAAAGTATTTCTATGCAGCCATTGTAAAAATGAGTCTTTAAAGGTTTTTTAATGTACTGCAAACTTCATAAATACATCATAAATCTGTATGATGTATTTATAATATGCCTCCTTTAGAAACACCAACCAATTTCTATCCAAGCGATTGTTATTTATAAAAGGAAATATAATGCATTATAAGTTATACAGATGTTCTGGTGAGAAAACCTGGGATTCCTACAGTCTAGGACCAAAGTAGAAGATGCAGGAAGAAAAATGAAGTCAGAGGTAAGAAAGGAAAATGTATTTTTTAGTTTAAATCTGAAGGAAATACTGCTGCACTGAAAGTGCTGCTTTCTGAAGTGTATGATTCTCCTATAGAAACATGGCAAGTGTGGAGGCGCCTGATCAAAGGAGCTGAATTCGACAGGGTGATAATCGCTAATTAAAGCATTTCCCAGCACCCATAAAAGGACTGAATACTGAGGCTGAAGAGATGTCTCAGGTGAGACCACTTGCTGCACCAAGAAGAGGATCTGAGTTCAGATCCCTAGAACCTATGTAAAAATCAGATGCGTGTTGTGATATTTTTCTTTATCCTCATGCAATTACATACATACAGGGAATGCACTCATACACTCTTTTCTTTAAGAAAAGGAAAAGAAAAGAAAGAAAAATAACCTGTAGAAAAATCAGGATGCTTACACTTATAAATAACTTGTTATTTTGAGTGTGCAAATATTGGAAGTGATATGAGCTTAATTTACAAAACAATTCACATAAATCAAGTCATTTAGTCACTCAGTGTCCTTACATAGAATACACGTTTAGTTACTTACATATAAGTTGTTCAATAAAGGAAAATGAATGCATCTAACAGCAAAAACATTACTTATTTTATACTGTGATTTCATTTACATTGCTTATTTTTTTTAAAAAAAAAAAAAAAGAACAACTTTGAGAATAAAGTTTTTTTTTAATTGAGCTTTCAAACATTTTGTGTCACATTCCTTAGATTCTCCTCCCAAACCCATGCCCACAACCCAGGGCCCCAACCCCCCACCCCCCAACCCAGACCTCACACATCCTACCATACTTGTTACTCAGGTGCTTTCAAGTGCAAATTCATAAACAGGAGTCTAGTCAGCTTATGTAGAGATTGTAACTAAGGTCTACTCTCCCTCATCCAGTAGTAATCGATCTCCAAGTCCGGACTCTGGCCGCCATTTCTCACGCCACTCTGGGCCCTTGTCTGATTGAGTTGGAGAGATCAGTTGCCACAAGTTCACATTTGCAATCTTCCACTGGCCTGAAAGCCTCTGTTTCCATATGTGCATGGACCAACCCTGGCTCTTGCAATCTTTCTGCATCCTCTTCAGTAATGGTACCTGAGCCATGGGTGGATGAAGTTTAATATAAGAGTCCTATCCAGGGACACACTTTGCAGTCTCTTGTTCTCTAAAACTTGGCCATTTGTGTCTTTCTTTGTGCCTATCACACTGTTGTATAAGGAAGCTTCACTGGAGAGAGTTGAGGGATGGGTTTTCCTTTTACTCCATGTTCTGCTGTGTTCCATGAGCCTTTGGTGTAGAGGTTCAACTGTAGATATTTCACCTAGGACTGAGCATCTCTTAGGTGTATAAGCTCTGAGTGAAACCAGCTGTGGAACTCTGCAGTAGACTCCATCTGTTGCAAAAAGAAGTTTCTTTGATAAGTGCTATATGGTATACTTGTCTGTAAATATAAGTATCCATATGGCAAGAAATTTCATTTGTTTAAATATGACAGAGATAAGGGTGAGGAAACTAGGCGCCACAAGCCCATTGTCAGCCAGAAACCAGAACCAGCCTTATCTAAAAGCTCCACAAGCCCATTGTCAGCCAGAAGCCAGAACCAGACTTATCTAAAAGCTGCAAAACAGGCAGGCACCGCTGGTCAAGCTTCAAGGATCAAGCTGTAAACAAATCTTACGGGCGGAAGGACCACCCTTAGGGCCCGATACCAGTAATCCCATTTCCCCTCAGCCCCGACCCTTACCCCATATCTCTGTGTGTTTTCGATACCAGTAATCCCACTTCCCCTTAGCCCCGACCCTTACCCCATATCCTTGTGTGTTTTTGAAATTACTCTGTGTTTTTGAATTAACGAATAACCGCTCTCCTGCTTCTGTACCCTGCTTCTGCCCTATAAAAACTGCCAAACTCCAACCTGGGGCGCGCAAGTCCTCCAAGGAGACTCTGTGCCCACAGGTACCTGTGCATGAAATAAACCTCTTGCTGTTGCAACCCGAAAGGCTGACTTGTCCTCAGTGGTCTCACTCTTACACTCTGGAAAAGCAGTACTCACTCTTAACCATGGAGCCATCTCTCCAGCCCCCAATTCTTTTTTTAAGATTTACTTTTACCGGGCATGGTGGTTCATGTCTTTACTCCCAGCACTTGGGAGGCAGAGGCAAGTGGATCTCTGTGAGTTTGAGGTTAGCCCGATCTACATAGCAAGCTACAGGCCAGCTGGGACTACAGGGAGACCCTATCTCAAAAAGACAAAAAAGTCTTATTTTTATGGGGCTGCTGGAGAGATGGCTCAGCAGTTAAGAGTACTGACTGTTCTTGCAGAGGACCTAGATTCAGTTCCCAGCACCCATATGGCTGTGACAACCATAACAAGCAGGCATTGTACACACATGGTGGTGCACTTACATACATGTAAGCAAAACACTCATACACATACAATGAAAATAAAATAAAAAAATTCCAAAGTCTTAGATAAAAGAGACTTATTTTTATTTATGTGTATGTGTGTTTGTCCGTAAGTGAATCCCAGATATGTATAGGTGCCTGCAGAGGCCAGAAGAGAGTGTTGGATCCCCTGGAGCTGGAGTTACAAGCTATTGTGAGCTGCCTGATACGGGTGCTGGGAACTGAACCCGGTGTACACGCTCTTAACCACTGAGCCATCCATCTCTCCAGTCCATGTTTAGGGTAATTTTGGGAAATGGTGAAACCAGTATATCTCCCCAAAATCCTTGTGCTTTCCTTACTTGCCCTTCGGTGGCCTTGACAGGAGGAAAAAGGACCCACCCATGAACTTGTCCAGAGCCTCATCTCCACTCATGCCAGCATCAATGCCAAGATGGCTTCAAGCAGAGTGACGCTCTTTTCTGATTCCAAACCTTTGGGGTCAGAGGATATAGATAAGCAGGGGTAAGTCTACCTCTCTTCTTATTTTTTTGTTTAAAAATTTTTATATTTCTTTATTGTGTGTTGGAGGGAATGTATGTGCCACAGTGTGTATGTGGAGGTCAGAGGACAGCTTATGGGAGTCAGTTCTCCTTTTACCATGTGGGCCCCAGGAATTGAACTTGGGTCATCAGGCTGGCAGCAAGCACCTCACCCACTGAGCCACCTCACTGCCTCTTTTCTAATTTTCAATTTGAAAAAGGTACAATGAAAATTATATCACCTGTCTGTCATTCTGTCATCATAACACTATTTTGGTAGATTCAACTCTGGGTTTTTGTTTTGCTGTGTATATTCATGTATCTCTTGGTGTTTTTTCACTTAAATAACATCACATGGTAGTATTTTCTCAAAGAAAAACATGACTTTGTTTTCAACAGACGTGTTCAGAATATTCTCCAATGCTACTAAATGTTTGCCATGGGTTTCTTGAGTTCCCTAGGAGACCTCGGGCCACTTGGCTATCTTTTGGTGGCCAAAATTGTAGGGCAGTGTCTAGATGCCTATTCATGTCTGTCCAAAGCCACATCGCTTGTCTCTCAGTTTCTTTTAGATTGCTTTAGCTCCATGGGCATCATTGTCCAGTAACGGATATCTTCTTTTTCAGTCTGGATTGGAAGCTTGGGTACTTGTATACTTTTGTACTTAGTGGGTACTTGGTAAGCCTTGATTTTTGTTCTGTTGATTCATGCCTCATGATCATTC